GCTTTTTTTTTTCTTTCAACACCTCTGGGTTCTGTTTTTTCCTCTCTCACTTCAGCAGTTTTTCCTCTTTACATGCTTTCGTTGTCCTCAGTTTTCTCTTGAAGTTTTTCCTGGAAGGTGTTTTTGGCAAAGGCGTGAAAGTGAATTTTAGCCTTGGTTCTCACCTGCCTTCTATTTTCCTTTCTTTCTATCATCTTTTTTTTTTTTTTTTTTTTTTTTTACAGTGTCCTTTTCTATTTTAAGAAAGTCCCAGATGTTTGATGTTCGTACACACCTATCACTTCATCTGCTTTGTTAGCAGTATCGGCTGCTTTTGCTTTGCTCTTATGTTCACCTCATCTCATCCAGCGTTCTGAGATGAACTGAGAAAGTGCAAACCAGATGAGCAGGCATGTCAGAAGCCAAAAAATTGCCAACATCATTAATGCTATTATGGTATTGCATAACGCAAGTGTTGCATTTGATCATAGTTTGGTATCTTGCAACATTTTTATATTACAAAAGTGACATCATCCAATGGTTTTGGGCAAAGCTTAGCAGGCGTAATTGACTCCGGTTGCTTGTGTTGGACACCTGCCAAAACGGCAACCACACCCCTTATTCTAGTATGTAGGCGGATCATTTATTAAAAAAATATTTTAAATTAAAAAACAAACAAAAAAAAAACGTCACCAACTCCCAAATCAATAAGGAGAAGAAAACCATCCACAGAGGTCAAAACCATTTGCTGTAACCGTGTTTAAATATGCACTTCAGGGCTGTAAAATCGGGTATTTTTAACTCTGCAGCCTGTGGGGAATCCCTTTGGTCTCAAGTGGCACCGTTACAAAGTGGTGGCCTTGAACAAAATATAAAACGCACACCACACATGGACATTGCAGTAATGTTAGAGAATTACTAAAATTCAATGTATTTTGACATAGCAGTGACGTTTTATCAAAGGTGGGGAAATGTTATTCTATTGTGTTGTTAAAGTTTAGATTTACATTAAAATAGGTGTTGGATAAATATGCAGTCCTAAGAGAATTTTGTTTGTAGGGTCAGTCGTTATTTGAGAACCATTTGAAATATCTCTATTAATGTGCAAAGCTCTCATTAAAAACAGAAGACATTTTTAATTAACACTAATTTGTTCACTGTATAAATTTATGCACTTCATGTTAGATTTGGAGCTTTAGTTTTATTCTACACAGCATGATTTTTAAATGGTTTTTACAGGTACCGCACACTCATAAAAAATACTTCGGTCTATATATTAAATGCTTTATTTGTCTTGGGTAACGCTGAAAACTTGCTTTAAATGTAAAGCTAGCTCAGGCTTGTTAGCTTGGCTTACCTTAGCACAAAGACTGGGGATGGGAAGAATCCTCTCCCAAATAGCAAAACGAAAGAAATCAAAGAAAGGTTTAAATAATGATAACAAGAAATAGAGAACAAAGAACTAATTGGATTTTTACCGGCCACTAAGCAAAGCTGAAGGGATGTTATTAGCAATTAGCATTAGCACATTGGCAATGTCCAAACAATGTGTTGGCATTTATTCCCCCTCCCACTAAGTTTTGAGATTTGTGGTACATATAGTACTTTTTAATATATCTTTTAAAAAGATATTTATGGTATGTTTAAGTAGCTAAAAGACATTAAAAAGCTTTCTGTGGAACTGATTCCATACAAACGGCAATAACTGCAGCTTTAAATATACTTGTATTATAACTATAGATTATTACATTCATTAAGTGTGTCGTAAAAACATGTGAGTAAATGAAGAGTTGCAGTATGAAATATTAAGGCAAATGTGTTGGGTTATGTTCAGTATGTTTTCCTAATCTGCCACATTTGATCTGGAAGCTGTCACAGAAATATAAAAACCTGAGAAAGTATTACAGTGCTCACTAGAATAAAGTACACATTGAACACATTGGTTACATATTGGTTCAAAATATATCCTCCAGGACGTTATGGGTGTAACAATCTGGAGTGTAACAGCAGCTCTGTGCGTCCCTCTATCCCAAAAACACAATTAGGTCCATAAATATTTGGACTATGATTAACATTTTCTTTAGGTTTAACAGTTTCCCACTTTCAGAAGCTCAAAACTAATTGGAGACTGGCTTGGGAAGCTTGCTTCATTATTCCAAACTAAATTAAGATACCAGAGCTGGAGCTGACTACAAGTATTGACCTTGCATTGTGTCACTGAACATATAATTTTCTGGAAATGAACAAAGAAACAGCTGGATAAAATTAAAGTAGACAAAAACAGGTTTCTAAAAGGGCATGTTAAAGACTAAAGCTCCTTCATCAAAAGCTAGAATTCGGCATGAAAGTGCCTCGAGTCTGTCTTCTATTAATGTTTCCAAGAAAATCCAGAGAAAGATTATTTTCTCTTCAACTCAATAAATTCTTAACAAGACCATACAGCATAAATCGTTAATTTGACTCCTTTTTCTTTTTCTCCTTTAAAGGCTCTTGAGCATAATCATTATTCATCGTAACTACTCATCTCCTTCTTTCCAGCCAATGGGTCTCTCTCAGCTCCCTCTGCTTTTGTTTGATTTGGCCAATGACTGTGCTGTGAAAGCAATCCTCCCCAGTAAACCCATTCATGGTTGACCACTTTGACTCCCTTAACTACAGCAAAGCAAAGCAGAGCAGCCACATCTGGCAAGCGGTTTTCACATCTGGTTTGTGTATCAGCTCTTTGCACGGCTGTCTGATAGCCTGCCTTGCAGGCATAAGATGTGATACAGACACTCCAGGGAAAAATGGCTAGAGGATAGTGTGCAAGTTTGTGTTCAGAGGTCAGATACACAGAGAGAGGAAATGTCATTCTTTGACAAAAACACCAGACAAAGAAACAGCTGTATGCTTTAACTTTCTACTATTTTAATAAGATGCTGCAGGATCTTGTGGCTTCTAGAAAAATAAAGCTAATTTAAAGCAAATTTCAAAAAGCCCTTTAAATCAGTTTCATACTCGCTATAAAATAAACTGAGACTAGAGCAGTGTCATTAAATTTATGTCTTAACTAAGTGGTATGAAGCTAAAATTCAGCATGCAGAAAGAAGAGAAACAAAGATTACTAACAAAGGAAAGAAAATGGCCCTATAAACCAGTGTGAGAATGACTGGCAATAAAAAACAGATAATAAGAGCTAGCAGACAAAAAGTCTGATAAGGAAGAGGATGAAGTGATAATGAGATCCAGATGAGGAACATAGCCACTGTGAAAGCTGGATGAGGGAAAGACGTGGGTCTGTGGGAATCATATAATGAGATGCTGCCCTCTTGTGCCAAGCCTGTATTTTGCTCTTCTCTGGTATTTAATTTTGATGGAATAAAGCATCTTGTTTGACAGTTTTCCTCTGACTTCAGCAGAGTCAAAGGAAATGTTTGAATTGATTATCTATTGAAGCGTTGACCCTGTGTGGATTAGAGAACTTCTGACTACAATGTGTATAAATCACAACACATTCATATGCTCTGTATCAGTTTGTCACAGCGACTCTCTCGACAAGGCATGCAGTACCTCACTAGACAAATCCCTGGTGTAACGGACATGTCAAAAGAAAACTGGAGGTGAGAGATTAAATCCGTCATTCTACAATTAGATTTTTAATAAGGGAGGAAACATCCCAGCAAACTCACTTCAAGTTAAAGCTGTGAAATGCTCAGAGTATAAAAAACACAAGAGCTACATCTCACATGCTACAGGCCTCAGTACATTAAATGTTAACGGTTATGAGAGTAGAATTTGAAAAAGACAAGCAAAGCATCTTTGGGAGGTTCGCCAGGAGATCGCCTCTTTTCTAAAAGGAACATGGCAGTATGGTGTGGGTTTGCAAAGGATAAACTGAAATCATGCTTTTATCTGGATAAATCACAAGACTTGGACATAACAGTGCCCTTTGGAGAGATTAGACAGAAGTGGAAATCCTTGATCATAATGGATAGCACCATGTTTGGCAATAAAAAAATAAATAAATAAATAAAAGGGTTGGTGATTTGGGCACTAGGCTGTCACGGAGTCCTCTGTATACCAAAGAGTCCCGGTGTCAAATGTGGGGACATCTCCAAACAGCTAATGTTTGGCTAAATTGGGCAAATGTACAACGGAAGAAGAAAAAAAGAATCAAAGTATTGCAATGGCCCAGTCATCAAAGTCCAGACTTTACCTGTTCCAAGTGCTGTGTTTAAACTTAAGATAAGATAACCTTTATTAGTCCCACACGTGGGAAATTAGAGAGATGTGTGTAAATAAATGCCTGCAAACCTCAGTGAGCTGAAGCAGCTGTAAACGAGAGTGGGCTTAAATTCCTCAACAACTAAATGACCGACTGAGAAATTCATACATAAGGCAATTATTTTAACTTATTACTGAAAGTGTCTACACACAGAATCATTGTGTGTACTTGTATTTTATTTTCACATGAAAGGAGACATTTATGGTCTCAAAAAGACCTGTCAGATGACTTTGATGATGCAAGTTTCACTTGAGCTGGTTATTTATTTCGTTTTTAGTGAAATGTCTTACTAGCTATTGAAGGAATTGATATATTTAGTTTAGGTATTCATGTTCCAGCAATTACCTGATTATACCTACATTTAATTTAGCTCCAGACTTGAATACCCAAGGATTTTTTATTTATTTATTTATTTTTAAAAAGGGAAGACAAAAAGCTGCGCTCACACAAAACTTAAGAGTTGACAAATTCGTTTTTTCTGAAAACAATCATGCTAATGTTTCAGCCTACTGGACTTCAGTAACCGTTCATATTAGCCATCACTTACTGACCATTAATTAGCAGCTATGAACTACATTTTCATCAAACTCGCACGCTCAAAGGTAGATTCTGTTCAAAGAACCAGTTCATGCTAATTATTTGCAAAGCTAATGACATCCCCAGCAGCCTTCACTTCGTACTTGTGTTACATGTTACACTAGCAAACATCAAACTTTTAGCATTGTCCTAAAAAATATTGTGTACACAAACAGCAGTGCTTATTTCAAATATTTTTATTTTATGGCAAAAGATTTCGATAATCATGCAGGAAATGAATTTTATAAAATGTTTAACACCTTAACATCTAATGTTGCTTTTAAACTAATCATGAACTTTGCATACCGTACATTTTGTCCTACAGGAAGCACTAGCACAATATCACAAAGCACTCAGGCAGAGATGTGAGAATATTTCACTTCACTGTGGTCGAACTCCTTTCGCATTCAAGTGAAAATGGCCCTACTGAGTTTGCAAAAATACAGAAAATATTTACACCTGGATAATACAGCAGTGTAAATTAATGGTGGAAAACATGATGGAAGATTATCTACTGTGCAGAGTTTTCTTAGTCTACATGAGATAACAGTTTAATATTCTTAAATATCTTTGGTTGATAAGCAGGTTAGGCATTCAGTAATAATCTTATTACGTTAATGTCATCTTTCTGTTTGATGACGTGGTTCAATTAGTCGGGGCTCCAGTTTTTATTGTCGTTTCATGTTTGCTGATGCTCAGTACTGGCCTGCTTCATGTTCATTAGTGGCAGTTTCCACAAAATTTAAAGGCTTTCTGTCTAAAAGCCGATCACAAAACTTACATTTCTACAGCAAAGTCTGTTCAGGTAGGAGAGGCTTTACTGTAACGACCCTTTAAAGAAGAGGAAATCTGATCTAACAGGCAGGTGAGGTTTTCCTGTATAAGTCGAGGTGATTCACAGTTATTACTAGTCGTTCTCTTGGGTTTACCTGAATTCAAATCTTCAATCTGTGCCTGTCAAAGGCAAAAGGCCAAAATGGCTGCATTTTCTTTCCAGGTTGAAAATACATTTAAAAAAATCAGGCCACCGTAATCAAAGCCACAGATGTTTTTTTTAAGACCAAAGTGGTAAACTTACAAAATACACTCATCTAAGAATACATCTTTGTAGGTTTTTGGCAACAAAAAGCAGGAGTACCACAAATGTACAGCACCATTTTGAAATGTGTTCAAAGAGGCGGGATGTAGAGAGCAGCCCAAAGAGATGAACGCATGAATGCACATTGGAGGAAAACTACCAGACATGGGCAAAACACTGGTCCGACACATGTAAATGTAGCTTTTCAAACAACAACAAACTGTTTTAAGTCAAACGAATGAACAGTGTCGACTAGCAGAACCAATGAGTCTTGGCAGCTCAAATGCCTAAAAGACAAGTTTTTTTTAATTTTTTTATGTACTCTTAATTTAAAGCTACTGGGAAAAAAAAAAAAACTGCTTTAAAGCAACATTTTTTTTCAGTATCCATGTGACAAAGTGTGTTGTGATATTTTTGAAAGAAAGCTAATATATTGGGACTTTTTAAGCAGAGATGTTTTTCCCTCCTTCCTGCAAGCACTGTGTGCACATCAGTATCAAGGTGGCTCCCGGTATTCCTCTTAGGCCTTTTTCTTACAGACATGGATGAAGTAGCATGGAGCCTGAGACTGGCCCGGCACGTAAGTCTTGAAATCTCCGTAAACGGCGTGCTCCAGTTTGCCGTTGAAGGCCTCGTTCAGCAGACCTCTGAAGCTGTCCAGGCAGTGAGGGTAGTAGGACAAACGGAATTTACTGGAGGACACAAACAGAGCAAAACACCAGAGTTACTGAAGTTTGGTAGTATTTATGAGATTCAGCTCAGTTTCAACTGTGATACTTAAAAGTATCAAAGTTTAGTTTTAACAATAACACTACTGCAGACCATTTGTCCTTGATTTCAGGAATGCAGCGCAGTTTAACAGCTGTTATTGTGTCTGAGGATGGAGCCCAGCGACCTCGGGTGTAAAATAATTTACACATCATGAATGATGTTTATAAAGCCCGATGAGGGTTAGGATTAATCACTGGTCTACGTGAAAAATTGTGCTCTTTTGTTGCTATGGTGAGATATATATATATATATATATATATATATATATATATATATATATATATATATATATATATATATATATATATATATATATATATAATATATATATATATATATATATATATATATATATATATATATATATATATATAGTCTAATGTGGCGGCATGACCAGTAACCAAGGTTACCCTAAACTAAGACTAAATGTGGGGGAAAAAAAAAAAAAAACATTTTATTTGACCAAAACATAAAAAAACATCTTTGATTAAAATTAAAGCCTAAATGACTTAATTTAAAAATAGAGGAAATATCCTTAGTTTTAGTATCTGTTCGTTTGATTAGTTTGCCTGATGAGTTGGTGATGGATGTCTCAAGACTGTAAATAAACTGCTTTCAAAAAGTCATGCACTTTTATTCATGTACTGATTTTCTTATTTCTTGCCTCTGACATAAGCCTTCATACAACAATAATAACACTAAAACTAATAAAAATCTAACTAAAACTAAACATTTTCAAAGAACTGAAAATAAACTGAATTCAGAATAAAGTCAAAATCAAGAGGAAAATTAATTAGAAAATGGAAAACCACAATCCTGCTGATGACGTTTAAACACCATCTAAAGTGAATGTAAGACAACTTTTTTTTTTTTTAGCATATTAATGAATTAACATTACAGTTTATGGCTGGAAAGCAAAAATATTCAAGGCAATGTAAACCTAAAGATTTGAGATACAGTAAAAGCTGCATTTAATGCATACAAGACATGAAATTGTAGATGCTATAATGACAAATGTATAATGTATTGTCCAGATCTACCAGTTAGAATAGGTCTCCCATAAAAGGATCAAGATATAATGTATGAGGTGTGAGCTCAGTCTCCTATCAGCTCTGCAGCAGCATCAGAGCCCGACTCACCTAACTTCAGGCAGGTTCTGGAGGGTGGCCTGTGGCACTTGGATGGTGTAGTCCAGAGTGATCATATGTGGCTTACTGTTGACCCACAACACTGAGGTGGTGATGTCCTGAGTTAGGTCACTCTGCAACACACACACACACACACACACACACACACACACACACACACACACACACACACACACACACACACACACACACACACACACACACACACACACACACACACACACAATTCATCCTCATTTTCTTCTATGATGTCCAAACACAGCCTGAACAGAAGAGACTGATGAAAGGAAAAAAAGATTTGGTTGGTTCAGTGTTGGAGCACAAGAGCAAACTCAGGGATTACGAAGGCATCAGAAGCTGATTTTTGCCAACTAGCAATTGTTGACGTAGTATTTATATTGAGGCCTTCCAGCTGGATACTTCCTGCTTTGGCTGGATTAAAGAATATGGACGTTGTTTTTAATGCAAACATCTTGAATCAAATATGGCTCCCTACAGTCACGACCTGCTGTTGTGTATTCTCCACATCTCATATCTGAGCTCATTCCAAATGCAAGCCTGGCTGATTGTCTGAATTATGTGAACACAAGGTTAAAAAAAGGGGATGAGACAGAAAAAAAAAATCAAAAAAAAAAAATCATACATGCAATCTATACAGAAGTGTCCACTTAATGTGCACACTAGAGGCTACGTGTACTTTCAGTCATGTTGTTTCCCCGTCTTCCCAAAGGGCTTTTTACTCATTATTCCTGACTTCATCCATTTTTTGCCCCATTTGCCAAAATGATATGAAAACCCAAACACATTTCCTTCTGTTTCTCCTGCACCAGTTTTAGTGAAAATCTCACAATATCCGTCAGGCTCCGTGTGGGGATTTAAGTCTTAAAGCCAGCTGCTGCTAGGGATGGCGTAAATAAACCATTCTTAAACAATACTGTCTGTCCCACTACTACTCGCAAAGCAATAAAAGACCAGATTGTGCAGAGAATTAAGATTAAAAACGGGCTTCTTTGTGCCATCCATACTGAGGGCTGAAGAATGGCTTCAAACTTCAGATTCTCTTTTTGGGCAGAGAGAGAAGTCCAAAACTTATGATCTGTATGACAATAAAATAAGGATGATATTTGAGAAAAAGCCAATAGATAACTGCACGTTGTATGACTAATTCACATTCAGCAAAGTATAAAAGACAGATGTAGCTTCAGGCCCTGAAAAGTGAAGCCAACACAGAAGTGCCTTAAACCTGCACTCATTTGAAGGACCAATGGGGAGCGCCAACTGTGGCTGCAAAATGACTTCCGGTCCTGTAAAAAGTCTGAAAACAAATTTCAGGTCTGACCTCTGTAAATTACTTTCTGATCAATTCTATCAATTCAATTTTAATCACTGAGTTTTATTAAAAATTAAGTGAATTTTGCATATTTCAAAGCACATTTCAAAGCAAAAGGACACCAATGGCAAAAATGCTCGTCTCAAGGCTTCAAAGTGGGAAATTCACAGGTGACGTCCAGGAGCTACGTCCATCTTTTACACCGTTGAAGGATGTAATCAGCCATTTCCAGGTCCAAATGCTCCATAATTTCCAAGAATAAACAAGCAGTTAGACACCACAAGAGCTCAGCCAGTGTAGGAAGAGCTAAATCAATATTTGGAGATTTAACAATCTGATATTCAGATGCATGAACAGATTCTCTAATATTTATTACATGTAGTCATTTATCTTATCCCCAAGTCTTCTTAGATCAGCTGATAGCTGTGCTGCCCAAGCTGCTGTTGCCAAAAGGGAAGTTGCAGAGTGTCCTCTGGTGGACAAATTATGCAATATCAACACTCGTAAGATGGCTGGAGGGTGTCTCTCCAATTTTTTCTTTACCTTTTAAATTTTAATTTAAGGGCTGTATAGCCTCCAGCGAATGGATGACAGGATGGATTTAACGGCTGATAGATCACCAAAAGGCTAATATTGGCCAACTGATAAAGTGGTCAGGCTCTAGACACCACTGAGTAAGAAATAGATCCAGTTCTTTGAACTTGAATAAACTAAACAGTGTATCTGTTCTCAGAGGTTCAATCAAACATACCGTCATCCTTGAAAAGAGAATAAATGACTAAAACAAACAGCAGCAGACAGAACGTCTGTGATCAGCGCAGCCACAACACAAGGTTAATCATTCATATGTTGCTGTGTGCTTTGGGTTTGTACCAAAAAATAACAATCCTAAGCTTCTCTTAGCAGTCTCTAGAGCGAAATCCCAGAAGTGATTTACCAAAGGATTAAAAGCAGAGGGGCACCGGGTCCAATTTTCTTGGCTGAGTCCATTTTTTTTTTTTCTAAATTTTACCCGTCGAAACAGATTTTTGCTGATTCTGATTTTCTCTCCACGAACTATAGGAGCATATACAAGCAAATTAAAATAATATTCAATTTAAAATAATATTTTGAAATTAAATTTAAATATTTGAAACTGTTCAATTGCCATAAGCCTGCAGTACTTTGGAAAGGGTTAAGAAAAACAGACTAAAATGTACACCGACTGTTAACTGATGCATTTCACCTTTCCAAACTAAGCAGGTGTCGTGAGCCTGAAGGCTGTAGTTTCCACCATGAGTTCTTAAAAGCTGTATTTACACTGTTATGCAATTATGTTGTAAAAAGAATAATCACTGCAGTAAATCCAATATTGGTATATGTTTGGTACCTTGTAGTAGATGTTCTTGCCTTGTGGAGCACGCCCGGTCTCCAGGATGTAGTCGTAATTGCGGTGGTCAATGATGAGGACCCCACCTGGTCTGACCATACTGGCGATGTTTCGAAGGGCCAGCTTTTGGTCACTCTGGTCCCCTAACAGCAACAACAGCACGACTGAGTGCATGAATAAGGGATCAAATTGGCAGCTAAACACATGGTAACAAACTGGAAGGCAAAGGCGTGTGCATCGATTCAAGGAGATGTTTGATTTGAGTTATGGATGCAGGAGTAATCACATGGCAATTTAATGAGTCACATCATCATTCTGACAAGGCAAAAATTATTTGGACACTTTTTTTTCCCCTTCCACAAATATATTTCTAATATCTCTGACAATCTCTGGGACGAAGGTTGTGGGATAAATCCTTTGAGACAGATCCTGTATGGGCTTGCCATGCCTCTACACCCTGCTACAGTGAGGTGAAAGAGCACTCCAGGGCACTGCAACATCATCGCTGGTTGTGTTCAGAGGTGCACCCAGACAGGTCATACCTTTAAACTCTAATGCCTACGTTTGCCAAGTCCAGGCATAATGAGATGTTTTGACAGGCCCAGAGGAAAAGCCCTTAAGCTCACCTATAAAATTAACAACACTTTTATTATTTGTGTACCTTTAAAGTCTGGTAAGTGGGCAAATGAGTTGCCGAGGCAGATGACAGCATCAAAACCATCTCCTGGTTTCTGAATGTCTTCTGATAAAGTCAGCCAGTTGGCCTCTTCAATCACTGAAGACAAGAAGGAAAAGAGCAGAACATGAGGTCACCTGAGGAAATGTAGATATCACCACAAACATGTGCACTTTGCAACAGTTTAAGACAAATGAAACAACTGAGTGCTGCCCACACACAGGGCTTTATTGGGAGCAACCCAGGCATGACGGCCAATGCAAAACAAACACCACACAGTCTTTGTTTTATTACTATAAGGAGGTCCGTGACTAAATGTCATACTGATTGCTTAGCTTTTCAACTTTAAGCTTACCCTGCCATCACTTGTACTGATGTTGCTCTGTTGATTAAGTTAACTTTATGCTAGGATGCACATTCTCTGACGAATGCTTCATTTGTGTCACTTCTTCTTAAGGTTATTTTCCATTGATTCATATGAGAGATCAATTTACTAGTTAACAATTCCCTGGCAACTCGCCTTGGCCCTTGTCTTATGCTTTAACTACCAGTTGGCTCATTGGCTTCAATATCCTTTAGCTGCTTCCCTGGAGAGGATCTCATCCCATGACTGGAGCTGCTCCAGCTCAACTTGTACTGCAGCTTGACTCTGTAGTCCTTGTTCTGCTCTTATGTTCCACTTGGGGATCAGAACCTGCAGCTTGTGCTGCTCTGCTGAGGTCACAGAGAAGAACAAGGGCTGCCGTCTCCAGCTGTAGTCCAAGATGGTGGACTTTTGAGCTAATCGTGAGGACGAGAGGCTCACAAAGAGACTGTCACAAAATGCTTGGCGAATATGATTTGATTACTGGCACAAATAGAATCTAAATCTGTGGAACTCACTGATTCAATAAATATATTTTAATTTTCATACCCCACTGGTCAAAAGCTGGTTCTTTTCTCCTGTCCCATCTCGCCTTCAGTGCATACTTGAGCATTTTGTCGCTGGCATCCACACTCACTAAATTAAACCCCTCCTCCACCAACATAATGGAGTCAATCCTAGAAAACAAAATCCATGAATACATTAAAAACAACAACCGACCTGTGAGGATCATGCAGTAGGTGTGTTTTGATTTTGAACTAATCCCTGCTGTCATCTTCCCCTAAAAAACCAGTTTGATCAAGTCTGAGTGCGAGTGTGTGTTTGCTGTGACTGCACTACATGTGGTTTAGTAGTAGGTTGATAAGCTTATCGTCTCACTACAGACAGGAATACTAACCTTGTCACAGGTAAGGAGAGATGATTTGTATAGTAGCCAGAAGCTACTCCTATTTTGAAAACCTGACAGGAAAACGTGATTGTGGGCCAAACCACAGCCTGAATAGATGCTACTGACTGACTTCCAAAAATGTTTTCTCGGCAATTTATGAGTTAATAATAAACAATACTGACGTGTTTCAGTGCAACAGGGGGGAGGGATTCAATGGACAATAATGCAGAAATCATTAACATCTACTGGGTAACTACAAGATAATATAACAACAAAACAAATAAAGCTTACGTAAAAAGAACAGCCAGTTTTCAGATTTGGATTAAACAGTCTTAGGCTAAAAGCAAATTCATATCTTTTAGATTTCATCTTGGCAACAAGTCTCAAAGGACTCTGATGGTCCTTCATTTGGTTCAACTGTGTTCAGTCTGGTGACTGTGAAGGCCTCAGCTTAACAGATCCAGTATAATCCTTGAGGTATAAGTCAGGGATTCATGGTTCCCCTTTAATTTGTCTGTATGCCTATCCATTCTGCAGTTATACATAAGATTTCCTGCTAGAACCTATGGAATCCTAAATTAAAAAACTCTCACAGGTTCAGCTGAAAGTGATTCACAGCCTGAAGCTTCTTCTCAGAATTAGAAAGCATCACAAACACACTGCCAAAAATAGCTATTTGTAACCATGATCCACGAGGAATATGTTTACTTCGAGGCTGCTGCACTATGGAGGGGCACCACTACTAGGGTATCGGGTCAGAATCAATGTGCTGGGGTGCTCCAAACCGCAGGAAAACAACCATGCGGCCTGATATATGGAGCTGAGTTATTATGGAAATGACTGCAGTTCTTACATGAACATTATAAGCTCTGTAATGTTGATTAGCAGCTGAAATGAGTGCTAAGTGATGAGCAAAGAAAAAAGAAGATACATTTATAATAAACATCAAATAATAAAATTGTTATAGTGCATCTCCAGTGAAAATTCTCCATGAGAAAAACAACAGCTGAGGTGACATTTATGGTCTGCTTGTCTGTGCTTAGGCAATGGCCTTGCTGCTGTGTGAAAGCACAGTCAATGTATCAAGGGAGATAAAAAAGACTGCAGGAAACCAGAAAAAACTCCTTTCGACTACCCAGCACTAGTTCATCACCCACTGACCTACTAAATGCAAGTTTAGGGTTCGCTTGTGTTTAGTTTGCTTTAGAAACAGGAAATTTAAATGGACAACACTTGCTTCTACAAGCTTGTGTCTCAGACATATTACGCCTCTCTAATTGAATCACATTTAACCAGCATGTGTAAACCTGCTGTGTCCAGACCAGTGCAGGAGGCAGGACGTGGCTCAGGATCAGGTGCAACTCTGCACTTTCATTCATTATTCTGTGGCTTAATCCGGATTTTGTCCCGAGTTAAAAAGGGTCAGTGAGTTGAAATTCCACAAACGTCAAACTCACTTGAACAGCTATAAAGATGGGTACAAGTACAAAAAGGCCTATGTGAGCTGAAATCACATTATTTTTTTACCTACAGATCTATCAAGAACAGCAAAGAAGCAAACACCATCATCACTATCAGCTACGCCTACACAACTCTGTTCTGAAGCTGCACAATCACTGTGAATCACACAAGAGTCACACCTTTTCACAAATCTGAAAAGCAATAATGCAGTCTGAATCAGCACGTTTTATGACGTCATCAGCAGCTGTTCACCTGCTGTATCATTGTGAGTTCAGGTTTTTGTTTGGCATATGCAATTTAAATCAGTTTAACCATTGACAAAAGCGTGCTCGAGATACTTGGATAAAGCCGTATTTAAGATTTTGTTATGGAAATTTCAGAACTTAAAGTTTTTGCTTATATTTTTTTTTTATTTGATCATATTTATAAATCCATACTAAGTTGAACGATTTGTAAGTGGATTTTGATGAAGCAGAGCTGAAGCCCCTGTCAGACGTGTCACTATGAAACTGCTAAATTGACCTGACATTACCCTGTTCCGCAGGCTACATCCAGCACACTCCGCACCCCGTGCTGCTTCAGCAGGGACACCACCCAGCTCCTGTACTCCTGCGTCCTGCTCTTCGTGTCTCCGATGTACAGCTGCCACACTTTCGCTGCTTTGCCATCGGCGTATTGATCAGGAAGACCTACGGCTGCCACACCGAGGGACCGGGTCCTAAACACGCTGTCGACCGACATACTGCCGCTGCTTCTCCCTGCCCGGACCTCTACCTCTACCTTAGTGTCGAGCGGACAAACAACTTTGGACAATTTTAACTGAGTGAGGAAACGCGCTACCTCTCTGGTATGCTTGCCACATGCTAGCCGAGATGTTATTATTTATATGAACAACCTAAGAGAGAAACTTTAAGCCAATGACACGCCGTCGAGGACTGCCGCCTACTTTCTGATTGGATAACCTCAAGGGACCCGCCCCTTTTCTGTTTAGCATTGGAATACGTCACTCGAGTGAAGCTTTGCTAGGTTGCTAATTTTTCCCTTTGAACTTACCTTCCAGGATAAGTGTCACACTGTATTCCATCAAAGTTAAATACACGTGCATATTCAAGTTAAAATTAAGTTATGTTTGACGTTGGAGGAGAAGTATTTAAGTATAATGTTAAAATAAAGTAGAGCTCACGAAGCCCATTACCTGTAAGGTTTTACTCGGGGAATAAATCCCACCAATGGCGGCACAGAGGACTCGCCCCCTTTAACATTTCTTCATCTATCGTTTGATCATCCTGTTTGGACGAATTGCTTGCGAAACATGAATGGCAGGAGTTTTTTGCAAAGTAAAAATCATAATAATTTAATTTTTTTTAACAATGAAATACACAATGCTGCAGTAGTTAAGTGCACAGGGTGTAATATAGGTGAACAATGTGATTTAAAAACAAAACAAAAAAACCCCCATGGAATGAAATCATCTCAGGACTCTCCCAGACAGATTATTAGGCACTTTTCGTGCCCTCCCAAACAAAGTGAACTCCTCCTGTTGTGATTGGCGGATTTGGTTCTCTAGGACCCATATTTGCTGGTAGAGGTGAGGTCATGTCAGCTACAACCGGTGCGAGCTAGGTTAGGTTTGCAACTTCCAGTTTTTTCAGAACTGCACTACTACTTTATGGGTTGTTCACGCACACATACACACTTACTACTTTCAAAAATCCAGATCTGACTTCGAACACAGGCATAGTTGTGTAATTCAGCCTAAGCAGGGGTTGGCAAGAACACACAGCACTGCCTAGAGGAAGTCACACATTAGTGCACCTTTGCACTAGTCTGCCAAAAAGACATTCCTTCCTGTGGTTGTTTTGATGATGGTCGTGGAGTAGAAAATGTGACTCACTGCAAAGGACAAAGGACATGATCCACATCATTTTTATCCTCACTGACACGTCATGACATTTGCATGTGGGCATTGTCATGGTTGATCATAAAGTAAATCCCTACGAGCAACCTTGTAGCATTTTGTATCATCTTTGCTTCTAAAAGAATAAATGGACCTAAATCATGTCCAGAAATTGCGCCCCAGACTCTAACAGATGACCAGAGAGAGAGAGAGAGAGAGAGAGAGAGAGACTCTAATACAGTTTGTTGAATGTATGCATTAAATTAATCATCGTATCCCTTCTGAAGTATTGCGTCAATGCTGTTGATACAAAATGAAACAGGAAGTGAGTGATTAGTCAGATGGCGGAACAGATAAAAGGCTGAAGAAAATCGTTACATTTCAACTTGTTGTTTTCAGTAGGACCATGATGGACACCACTTCCAGCGCAGAGCCAAACTTTGCTGGAAATCGCCTCCTATCAATCAAATCAAATTTAAGATTGACACAGTCACTGCCAATTTGTCGGCTGCACATCATGTGAATCTTTTATTCCACCACATCCCAAAGGTGCTCTGTTTGACTGAGATCTGGTGAATGTGGATGCCGTTTGAGTACAGCGAACACAAGTCATGTTCAAGAAACTAGTGAGATAATTTGAAGTTTTTGGTATGTGGTGTTATCCTACTGGAAGGAGCCATCAGAAGTGAGGTACACTGTGCTCATAAAGAGATGGACATGGTCAACAGTATTCAGGCAAATGTGCAAACAAATGTTGAATCAGAAACTGAGAGTCCGGAGACCGGCTGACGGATTGTTGAAGCGACCTGGAAATTCCCCTTAGAGCTCTGACATCAACAAAGGATTTTTATCCAGTAAACTGCCGCTCGCTGGATATTTTCATTTTTTTCACATATACAGGGAGTGCAGAATTATTAGGCAAGTTGTATTTTTGAGGAATAATTTTATTATTGAACAACAACCATGTTCTCAATGAACCCAAAAAACTCATTAATATCAAAGCTGAATGTTTTTGGAAGTAGTTTTTAGTTTTAGTTATTTTAGGGGGATACCTGTGTGTGCAGGTGACTATTACTGTGCATAATTATTAGGCAACTTAACAAAAAACAAATATATACCCATTTCAATTATTTATTTTTACCAGTGAAACCAATATAACATCTCCACATTCACAAATATACATTTCTGACATTCAAAAACAAAACAAAAACAAATCAGCGACCAATATAGCCACCTTTCTTTGCAAGGACACTCAAAAGCCTGCCATCCATGGATTCTGTCAGTGTTTTGATCTGTTCACCATCAACATTGCGTGCAGCAGCAACCACAGCCTCCCAGACACTGTTCAGAGAGGTATACTGTTTTCCCTCCTTGTAAATCTCACATTTGATGATGGACCACAGGTTCTCAATGGGGTTCAGATCAGGTGAACAAGGAGGCCATGTCATTAGTTTTTCTTCTTTTATACCCTTTCTTGCCCGCCACGCTGTGGAGTACTTGGACGCGTGTGATGGAGCATTGTCCTGCATGAAAATCATGTTTTTCTTGAAGGATGCAGACTTCTTCCTGTACCACTGCTTGAAGAAGGTGTCTTCCAGAAACTGGCAGTAGGACTGGGAGTTGAGCTTGACTCCATCATCAACCCGAAAAGGCCTCACAAGCTCATCTTTGATGATACCAGCCCAAACCAGTACTCCACCTCCACCTTGCTGGCGTCTGAGTCGGACTGGAGCTCTCTGCCCTTTACCAATCCAGCCACGGGCCCATCCATCTGGCCCATCAAGACTCACTCTCATTTCATCAGTCCATAAAACCTTAGAAAAACCAGTCTTGAGATATTTCTTGGCCCAGTCTTGACGTTTCAGCTTGTGTGTCTTGTTCAGTGGTGGTCGTCTTTCAGCCTTTCTTACCTTGGCCATGTCTCTGAGTATTGCACACCTTGTGCTTTTGGGCACTCCAGTGATGTTGCAGCTCTGAAATATGGCCAAACTGGTGGCAAGTGGCATCTTGGCAGCTGCACGCTTGACTTTTCTCAGTTCATGGGCAGTTATTTTGCACCTTGGTTTTTCCACACGCTTCTTACGACCCTGTTGACTATTTTGAATGAAACGCTTGATTGTTCGATGATCACGCTTCAGAAGCTTTGCAATTTTGAGACTGCTGCATCCCTCTGCAAGATATCTCACTATTTTTGACTTTTCTGGGCCTGTCAAGTCCTTCTTTTGACCCATTTTGCCAAAGGAAAGGATGTTGCCTAATAATTATGCACAGCTGATATAGGGTGTTGATGTCATTAGACCACACCCCTTCTCATTACAGAGATGCACATCACCTAATATGCTTAATTGGTAGTAGGCTTTCGAGCCTATACAGCTTGGAGTTAGACAACATGCATGAAGAGGATGATGTGGACAAAATACTCATTTGCCTAATAATTCTGCACTCCCTGTATATCATCTGTAAACTCTGGATATGGTTGTGTTCTAAAATCCCAGCAGATCTGCAGTTTCTGTAATACTCACACCAGCTCGTCTGGCACCAACAACTGTGTCACATTCAGAGCCACGTAAACAACCTTCCTTTTTTTATTATTTTTTTTATTGATGCTCAGTTTGAATTTCAGCAGGTTGTCTCGACCATGTCTACATGCCTAGGTGCAATGAGTTGCTGAATTCTGATTCATTCAGACATTGTTAGTAACGAGTAGCTCAACAAGTGTACTTAAAGTGGCCAGTGAGCACGAACAGATGAATAAAAAGGACAAATAATTTTTTGCTAAATAAAACTGAAAGAAAAACACAAGTCCGATAATTTATTTATCAATATACCTGCAACAATGTCCATGTCTCTTTATTTATACAGCATATTTCATTACATGTTGCTTAAGAAAAATAAATGTAAAAAAAGTAGGTGTACAGCGTCTTAAGGCCATAAAAACTAAATAATAATTAATATTAGAGATATTTTATATTTTAAAACAGTTGTTACTAATGCTATATTATTAGAAGATACAGCTTAAGTAATTCGGTTTCTGTTGGAACAAACTGTAATTTCCCAAATTACAATTTGACTCAGTTCTGACTGCCTGCTTTCTCAGCACTTTGTTCTTGAGGACAGTAGATGGTGCTATAAGAGCAAATCTGAAAGAATTCACGCTTGAACATGAAACGTAATTGACCATAAAATTACCTCAAAAAAGACCTGAAATAAAAGTATACACATGTCATATCTTTAAAACTCATTTGCAACCAGTTAAATGTACAAATGTGAATGATTATAGAAAAGGGTCAGCGTTAACATATTTATACATATGCTGTACGTGAAGTACACATAAGTATGTTAAGATTGTAAAAATAGTTTGATTACTTTTTGAATACTCTTTAACATTTTATATACTTCTATATTATATGTTCAAGCATTAATAAGTTCATAAAGATGTTTCAAAAACTGCTTTTGGAAGAATACAAAACTGATAAAGTTGATGACTGATAGTATATATAACTATGCTAAATTGTATCTGAATTATAGCTATCACTGTAGCTATCTTTATACTTGTCCTTCATTCCTTATTGTGTGGGGGAAGTGATGAGGGGAAGTTGGGGTAACACTGAATATGGTGATTCAATAGAGTGAGCGTAAGGTAGGGATTAATAAGTATGTACATATTTCTTCCTACTCCATTTCAGACTTAACGGTTGTCATTTCATGTAATTTAGATTCTATTTATTTAATTTTAATTTTTGTTTTTGTCTGAGAACGTGTGTGTGTGTGCGCGTGTGCGTGTGTGTGTGTGTGTGTGTGTGTGTATGTATATTTCTGAAATGAAGATGATGTTGTAGTAGTAGTAACAAGAACAGCACATTGGGTTTCATTCATATAAGCTCTTATGTAATAAAATAAAGGTGTAAACCTCCTAAAATGATGGCTGTTAAAATGTTTCATGTATCAAAATGTAGTTCTCACTTTTCT